AGGCATGAGTAGTTGGAAGACAAAATATGTTGAACGTCAGTAGAGAGGTTTCATAACTGTCCTTTCGTTTCCTGTTTCGCTTCCCACCGCATGTTACAAAAAAACCTTCGAAAACCGTTAAGGAAACTCACGAAAGTTGATTGTCATTCTTTTCCCAAGACCTTCGGAAAGGAATTAATTCTTTTCCCCTTCGCCTTCGGATGACAACATCTGTAAAACGCCGTGTCTTCACCGAGCGCGAAGACGTGCTTCTGCTGACCCAAGTCAGTGCCGAAATGCCATTCCTGGCCCGCCGCGGCAAGATAATGGACGTATGGGACTCTGTCGCACGCAACCTGGCCACCATTGGCGAGTTTGACCGTCCCCAATTCGACGGAAAGAAGGCGCAAGCCCGATTCCTTATACTCTTGCGGGACCATCGCGACAACAGCAACGCATCTCGACATGCCTCGGGCGCGGCCGAGAATGTCACAGAAAAGACAATCCTGTTGGATAATCTTTGCAACCAAGTTGACGAAGCCAAACAAGAAGAGGGCCGCCGAATGACCCAGTAAAATTGAAGAGGCCTCAAATGTCGAGGAGAATGGTGCAATCGTCCGCGAAGAGGCCATTAAATCCCAAGGCAAGCGAAAAGCAAAGGACGAGGATGACGAATCGAGCGGCGGTGGCGGTGGCAAGATGTTGAAGGTATTGTCGTTGATGAACGAAAGCAACAAGACCGAATTGGAGCTTCGCAGGTTTATGTTTGAGAAGGAGATGGAGGAGCGTGCCAAGGACCGTGAGGCTCAGCTACAGCATGTACAAATGCAGGCGCAACAAGTCCAAATGTTGCAGTCGACATTGACTACCCTTCTGACTGCCCTTGTTAACAAATTGTAAATTTGTTTAAAATCCTGTAGTATTGCATTGAATAACTAACAAGTACCCAGGGAATGTGCTCCCACGGCGGAGCACTTGGGGGTAGAAGATTTGCGTTTGACGCGCCAGGGGTCGTATGGAACACATGCAAACCCCAACGTCGACAGCGCGATCAACCCTAAGCGAGCGGAAACTCGTACACTTCGCATCCCATGCCGCTGAAACGACCGTCGCATTCACAAATGCCGACGGACAGATTCGCGTGGGGGATGCACACCCCATGGCCATTGCACATGAGGCCGCTCTTAATATACCCCGGATAGAGCACGCAATCGGGACCGATGTAACCCGGCAGGAACGACGTACACGGGTTCTGCGATGACCACGCCCACCCTTCGTCGCACTTGCATGTTCCAGACCCCAGTAACCCGTTGGAACAAGTGCCGTGCGCACAGTCTTGTGGGCACGCGGTACAGTTGGGGCCGAAGTACCCATCGTCGCAATTGTAACAGTCACTGCTGCTGCTGTATCCTTGACTGCAAATGCATTGCCCCGTGCCGTGGATTGAATCATCGCATCGTCCTTGACCGCACCGCCGGCATTGTAACGAAGTCAAGAATGAAAATGACTTGGATTGTCGACTTAGGCTGTAGGGATTGTCGTACGAAGAATATCTGTTGAGAACACCGTTAGCGAAGCCACGTTAGGAAGGACCGTCAGAGCAGGATATCACAGAGCAGGATATCACGGCAATCAATGTACTTTTGAATTTCCTCTGTGCCTAGAACACTACAGTGCATGCATACGAAGTGCAGTGCTGGCCATATAAGGTAGGTACAACAGTTTTTTCAATGCAGAATTTTGTCCAATAGAAACGCAGCAAGGTTCAGGTTGAGCCAATGAAATTTGGAACACGGGCATGGTTTTTATTATCCAAGACGATGTATCAGATAAATGACCACTGTCCAAGTGGGCAAATTCTTGACACCTTGGATGCCCATATTTCTTTCTCCCCACAGCAAGAAAAGTTTGATAATATAAAAAAGTATATTGATACATTGAATTTGGCCACAGGGGTAACCGAGGTGTTATTTAATGTTTATATTACTAGTATCTGATAGTTTAAGCATTTTACAGTGCTCCGTCAAGGTTTGCTCCCTACTCAAAATCGATTACCTGAGTAAAATGATTGATATGAAGTTTGTGGGGCTTGTTTGAAATTCAGCGATTGCTCAACTGATAACTGTCAAAATCAATTATCGTGTTTCCTTTATTCTTTTGTTTTCCTTTTACAATTTATTTTTTGGTGAGGGAGCAAACGTTGAGGGAGCTCTGTATTCGGAATCATTGTTGTTAAGTCAGAGTTACAACACGGTTATGAGACAGCGATCAAGTAGCTCCAACACCGCCCGAGCACAACCTATCGAATACGGTGTTTACACTAATGTAGTCTTAATCGTCGTTGATAGGACCGCAAACATAGCGGACGAAGGTTTTTCGACGACTGGTGGAAAGTACAGTGTACATGAAATTTGGCCAACTTACTCCCTCAATGGACTGTAGGGTTATGCACTGTACATGAGCGCATATAATCCTTTCACTGGCGTCACCACCTGAGATTGACTTACAC